ACCCTTTCAATTCAGCTTGAAGAACTCCTTTCAGCACTTCTTTTTTTTAAATTGAAGAGTTCTGTATATATTCTAGATACAAGTCCCTTATCAGATATATAATTCGCAAAAATTTTCTCCCATTCTGTGGGTTGTCTCTTCATTTTCTTGATGCTATCCTTTGAAGCACTAGAGTATTTAATTTTAAAGATGTCCAGTCTATTTTTTATTTTGTGGCTTGTGATTCTGGTTCTAAGGTATGTCACTAAGTAGAAATAGCAACATGTGCCGAATTGTTTATATACTAGTAATCTATCTTTGTAAAAAAAGATGAAGGATGAGGAGAATATATATTTGTATTTGTTGTATATGCGTAAACTGGTAAGTTATACATATAAGAAGCTGAAAATAGTAGTTATCTCCGGTGGGGGAGAACTGTAGACATGGCAGTCATGGGTAGAAAGGAGACTTCACTGTATACCTTTTTATTTCATTTTTCAATATGAAATTTTAAAATTTTCAAAATGCGATGATTAAGGGCAAACCTAGGATTCTACTAACACTCATACTAAGTGCAATAAACATGGCCTCAAAAAGGCAAGAAAAATTTATTTTGAAGACAGTATGTGTATATGGTAGAAAAACTTCAAATACAAAAGAGTATACAGTAAAAATGGGTCTCTTTCTCACGCCTGACCCCTAGCCCTTCAGATGTCACCACTCTTACCAGTTTCTTGTGTAGCCTAGCAGAGATATTCTGTGACTATACAAGTGTGTGTGTATGTGTACATATGCATACCATCCCTCTTTAAAAAAAAATTAGAAAGACTATAAACACTGTTCTGCTTTTTTCACTTAATAGATTTTGGAGATTGTTCTACAATGATGTAGAATTATTTTACAATGATGAAGTATTAATGTAGCATTAATACTTATAGGTCTATTTAATTTTTAAATAGGCTATATAGTTTTAACACATGTCATTTAAATAGTTCCTTGCTAATGAGTTTTAAGGTTGTTTCTACTCTATTGTTACTACAGTGTTGCAGTGAATATTCTTGTACATATATCTTTGCACATGTGCAATGTATATGTACATGTGATAAATAAGTGTATGTGATAGTGTGTGTGTGTGTATGTGTGTATATATATATATATGATAAATTCCTGATGTGGAATTCTTGGGTCAAAGGATACATGCTTTTAACATTTTCATGTATCTTCTAACAGAGTTCTAGAATCAACTTACCAAAAATATCCTTTTGGGATTGCTGATTGGAAACATTTCTTGTAAGGCACATCTTAGTGGTGATGAACTGCCTCAGCTTTTGTTTATCTGGGAAAGTCTTTCTCTCTCTCTCCTTGATTTCTGATGGACAACTTTGCCAGACAGAGTATCTTGTTTGGCAGTTTTTTTCTTTCAGCTCTTTGAATATATCATCCTACTTTCTCCTGGCCTGTAAGGTTTCTGCTGAGAAATCTGCTGCTAACAGTATGGAGGTTCCCTTGTACATTATAAGCTTTTCTCTTGCTGCTTTTAAGATTCTTTGTCTTTGATTTTTGATAGTTTTATTATAACATGTCATGGAGAAGAACTCTTTGAGTTTGTTTGGTGACCTATGAATGTCATGAACTTGGATATCCAAATTTCTCCTTAAATTTGGGAAATTCTCAGCCATCATTTCTTTAAATAAGCTTTCTACTCTCTTCTCCTTCTGGGACTCCAATAATTTGCAAGTTGCTTCTTTTGATGGAATCCCACAGACCATGTAGGCTTTCATCACTCTTTCTCATTCTTTTTTCTTTGTTCTCCTCTGACTGGATAATTTCAAAGTTCCCATCTTCTAACTCACAGATTCTTTCTTCTGCTTAATCTAGTCTGATGTTGATGCTACTGTATTTTTCATTTCATCCATTGCATTCTTCTACTCCAGAATTTGTTTGGTCCTTTTTTATGATTTCTATCATTGTTAAACTGCTCATTTTGTTCATGTATTATTTTTCTGATTTTGTTGATTGTGTATTCTTGTAGCTCACTGAGCTTCCTTAAAACACCTGTTCTGAATTCTTTATTGGATAAATCACAGATCTCTCTGTCTTTGGGATCAGTTACTGGAAGATGACTATAATCCTTTGGTGGTGTCACGTTTCCTTGATTTTTCACGTTCCTTGAAGTTCTGCATTGCTGTCTTTGTATCTGAAGTAGCAGTCACCTCCTCCAGTCTTTACTAACTGGACTTGGAAGAGAAATACCTTTGGTCAGCCCTGCTAGAGATTCTGAAGTTTTCTCAGACCATCTGTGGATATGCCTGCTCCATGCTTCTTGCTCCCTCTTGTGGCAGAATTCTTAAGCTTGTATGCCTTCTCTTGATTCTGCAATGCACAAGGCTGGGTGCTGACAGCTTCCCTTTTGCTTTCCAAAGCATGGAGCTAAAGGTTAAGCATGGAGCTTAAGGTTAAATTTGCAAACTTAACTTGCCCACAGATCTGGGCTGGCACTTTACACGTGCTCACTAGCCATCAGCCAAAGCTTGTTCTTGATGCTGTAGGGAACACATACACGGAGCCAGCCACAGGGTGGGAGAGTGTGTGGTTGAGCTGGAGCATTGGGGTTTCCATGGGCCAGTCAGGGTCAGAGAGATCCACGGGTAAGGTGTCCCCAATAACTCATGGGCCAGCTTCTTAATGGAGACCATGATGAAGTTAGTAGGCTCTGTGTCCCTTTAATGCCCTCCAAGAGTCCTATCTGCTGCTCTCCCAGACTCTTCTCACCCCCGTCATGCAGCTCATGACTCAGTACTCTGGGTGGACTGAGAGAGAAACGGGCCTCTTTGGCAGCACCCCAGCTGTGGGCTCACTCACTCACTTACTCTCACTTTTCCCCAGAGGAGAAATCCCAAGCTGAGAAGATCTCTCTTCTGAGCTGTACCGCCTTGGGGGAGGGGTGATGAGGGTAAAGTCAAACTGTTCCTCTTCGATGCATCTAAACTCAATACTTTTTTGCTCCAATGGTGTGCTGAACTTCTCCATTGGAATCCTGGAATTCCACAAAGACTCTCTTGTCCATGGGTGATTGTCTAAGATAGTGTTTTCCAGGGGGTTCCAGACTGCAGCTGGGAGGGGCTGGAGCTGATTCGTGGGCCACTGCAGGGTCCAAGCTGGGATCTAGGTCTGTATGCCTATTACCCAATGCATGGGTGGGAAAGATTCCTCCCAGGTCACTTGGTGTAGGGTGCTGGATCCCAAAGCTTCCACAAAGGCATTTTTGTCTGTGGATGGATGCCAAATTGTTAGTGTTGGGGGTGGGACACACAAATGAGGGACATCTTATTCAGCCATGTTGCTGACATCACTTCTGAAGTTGGTTGACTTTAGTGAGGATAACTGGATGGCTGGGAAGAAATGAATGTTCAGTAGTCTCTTCTCAGTGGTCAAATTTCTGCTCCCTTTGCTTTGTCCTCTTTCCCTAGGTGCAATTCCTTTCAGTTCTGAAGGCCAGAAGTTCAAGATCAAGGTGTTGGCAGGTTTGGTTTCTCCTGATGGCTATAAGGGAAGGATCTGTTCCAGGCCTCTCTCCTTGGCTTGCGGATGGCCACCCTTTCACTTCCTCTTCACATAGTCCTCCCTCTGTGTACTTGAAATTTCATGTATTCTTAAAATTTGTCCATAGCTAGCTGACAAACAGTGGTATTTCACATCCTGGCATTAGTTTCATGACATTAATTCCTTTAGCTATTGGAATCAGAGTGAACAAAAATAGATCATAGCCAGCTGACAAGGCTTTCACAAGTGCAGTAAAGGTTTGAATTCAAAGACCAGGATGCTTAAGAATAAAGTTGGCTCCTTTGTGCACATGCTGGAGGTCTCCAGGGATCTCTTCTAAGCCTTTGATGACTCAAGCAGCCATATTCATGGTCCTTCCCCTGGGCTACAGCTGCTCAGGTTCCAAACACAAGCGTTGCAAAGACTAGCAATAAAATATTGTGAACACTCACCACTTTGCAAGTGATCTTTCTCTCTGTGCTTCACACACACGAGCAGGCCCATTTACTATGGTTTACGTTCTTTTGGTAGCACTTCTTGGATATGGGACTGGCCATGCTGTAACCTGGTTCTGTGATACTCTTCCTCACTGGACTGTGAACAGTTCTTGTCTTCCTCATCAGAGGATCTCTGACACTCAGCACAGATCCTGCTCCTCGATAGGTTCTCATACAAGTTTACTCAATGAACAGGGTAGTAAATTAAGACAAAATTATCCCTCTCTCCATTTCCCTTCTCCTAGACCCCCTGAGAATATAAGCTGAACTAATTAGGGGAAAAGTGTAGTGTGACAAATATAATCTTTTTCTATAAATAAGGATACTAGAAGACAAACATGATCGAAGTTCCTTTCAATAACTACCACACAATAAAAAGTCAGAAATACCACAATAAAAATATGATTAGATTTTCAAAAAACAGAAGTTTGCATGCATATATATCCACATACTTGATTTGAGAACCTCAGTGCTATTTATTTCTATTATAGCTAGACACAAAATGCCCAAAGATATACAAAACAAACAATACAAATTTTAAACACTCTTACAAAGGTGAAAATATAAAGTAATGAAGACTATGGATTTATGTTTGCAAACAATTTTACTTTGAATCCCATCTGGTGCGAAAACCTAACAGTTTATCAGAATTTGTAATTGATATAACTATATGTTAGAATTACAGTGGAAAAACTGATGAAATCCTAATCATCAATAGCCTATAGCAAATAACTATTATAATTAAAATTAATACGATCTTTAACTATTCTCCTAAGTACTGCTGCTATAATTTTTATTTATTAAAACTTTTATTTTAGGGGACCAAACTGACCTTAATGCTAGTTCAGGAAACAGAATAAACATTAATTAAATCTTCAATCCCAACAGTTAAAGCTTAGTGCTCTTTAAGTATTTCTGCTAGTCTGAGACTATTTTTGGTTCATTGTCAACTTTTACAATATATTAAGATAATCCATGTGACTTAATGACAGTGCTCATGTTTTTTGTCTTTATACCAAAGCAGTAAGGCAAGAAGTTTTTCCTTTTCCAAATCAGATAAAGAGAGAATATCTATCCATTTTAAAATTCAGGGACGAGAACCACTGCAAATAATCCTACCGACAGGAAATTAAGGCTGCTGTGATTTTCCTTCATATTTAAACCATAACGTAAGATCAGCAGTGTTGTTGTCTACAAATGAATTTACAGGCATTTGGGCTTAAATCACAGGACATAAATACTGCCATTTCTGTCTATACTTCAATTTCGGTTAATAAGACACTGTTTTCACAATCACTTTTGATAAGTTTGAAGATGAAGTCAGAAAACACTACACAAAGCTGAAACTGGATGACTCTGCTACAAGGAAATAATGCTTGAGGGGTCAAGAGTGGTTTCTGGTATCTGGTTAGTGTTGGAGCACTATGCCCCCAGCCCTGCACAGAGACGTGCAGGCCACACTCCAGCCAGCATGGCACACGTGTGGATGCCTTCAATGCTCCAAAGGGCCTGGTCCGCGACTGCCAAAGGCAAGATGCATGGCTCTGCAATAACTGCCAGGCGCCAGTTAGAGTATATCTTGTTTGCTGCAACATTCTTCTTTGAGGCAAGCCCTTCTAGATGTGTGAAAGAGAAAAATCACATAAGCTAGCCTGCAAAAGACTTCCTAAAATCATTTCCTAGCATGAACGTGGACCAGGCTTTGCAGTATACATGTACCACTGTTAGCACCATATTTAAGCCTGAATCAAGGTAAAGATAAACTCTCAGATAGCTTTGGGTAGAAATTACAGTAGCAATTTTGAATGGGGTATTTACAGCAGTATTCTTTCTGATCATTAAAATAAGTTGTTTGAAAAACTATTTGATCCCTAGTATATATATCCAAGTATATATGGGAATTGATAAATTACAAAGCTAGGTGAAGAAGCTTTTTGCAGGAGAAATGTAGCAAAAAAGAACTCTCATTTTTGAAATTCAAACTATGTCATTATTGGGTTGATGAAGTCAAAGATTTTGATAAAATACACTGAGCCAATATCACAAGGCCAGTTTATCAAATGGCAATGCCCAGTTTTCAGAGCATGGTCAAGTTTATTGTAGATGCTACCCAGTCAACATCCAGCTCCTACATGAACTAGATCAGTCTATTTGTCCCCTGATCATTGCTCCATTTAATAAAAAGGTGAGTAGCTTCTCTCTTCCCCAAATATTTTAATTTATGTAGGCAAACCTCTCTGAAACTTGTACTTACCATTTACATAAAGGAATAGAGAGGAAAAGACCCTAAAACTTGGTTAAAATTTTGAAAGGGTACAATGTATTTCAGCAAATGAAAACAGAGTTTAGTTAAGGAATAACTGGACAAAATGAGGTAATTCTCTAATTTAGTTCCCAAGACTTGATAAGGTGAAACAATAATGTGTAAAATAAAGAACTAATGAAAACTTTTCAAATTGCTTTTCTCCTCCCTTTAACATTACTTAACATATAAGAGAAATAAGAAATCTTAGATATAGCTAGCTTATTGAGGGCATAAAAAACTGATTTTTCAAAGGAGAATAATTACCATTATTTATAAAAGAAAATATAACTTTGGAGTTTGAACAACACTGGAATTCAATCTCTTGGTGAGAGCTGGTCTCAGGGCTCAGGCAGAAGCACTAAGATCAGTGCTTACTGCTCAGGCAGAAGTTTATCACTCAACTTGACCACGATTCTTCAAAAACACTCATCAGTAGTATTTTCATCTGACTCTGTTGAGATTCACATGAAAATAGAAGTAACTTTCCCTTGCAGGCTATAGAAACATTTTAGGGAAACAGTTTAAGGTTTGTACTTAACCTAAAAATTCAGCTGAATACTGCAGATCATTGTTCAGAAAACTTATGTAAAAAGCCATTCTCCTTTTATAAATCTGCTGGTGCTAAATGCACCTAATTGGTAATATACAAGAGGTATAGCACAGCTGTGTTTGCAAGAATGCTAGTTAATATATAAGATCTTTCAGTTCCCTGTCGGTCAGTTCATTCACTTCCATGATCTTCTCTAAGTGTTCCATATATCGGCCATGGTCCTGCAGAAAGTGAGGGACCCTCATGTTTTCAGTTACTGCCAATCCTTTTAAGCGATCCACATCTTCATAAGAGACCTGAAAAATGGAAGATGGGTTTATTTTTAAATGTAACTACCAGTTATATTTTGAAGAGCAATTTTTTCCCTGGGTCTTAAGTGAAATTTTAAGTATGTGGACTGTTTTTCAAATTACTTTAATACTTGCAAAATAACAAAAATCAGTCGTTTCCTTTCCTTTGCTGTGTTAAATAAGAATGTATTTATCTGCCCCCTCATACCATGATCATATTAAAAAAAGATCACAAGTCAATATTTGATTTAACACTCTATGTTGGAACTACTCAGTTTGTCTAGAACTTACACAACTAAACTTAATACATGTGTGTGAGAGACTCTAAACCTAAACAAATCTCCTGACTAAATCTAAATAAAAGAATCAAGAAAATAGATGGATTATAAATATCATATTATTAAGTTAGGAAAATCAGCACAATTACATATTGGATTCCTAGTTCTATTTAATTTGATAAATATAATAATTTGTGTTTTATGTTAAATTCTCTTGCTTTTATTCTGAATTATTGTGGTAAGTATTTTTAAAAATTTCACATCTCTTTGGTTCACTTGTATAAGAGGCCAATCTCACAAGTATTTATATTAAGTTCAGGGGTGAAACTTTTTAAGTTCTATAAATTATCTTTGCAAGTTTAAATTCCAAAACATGGCTGGCTTTAAATACTATTGTCTTCTGATCATCACTCTTCCTGGCAGTAGGAGGGCTTTAAATAAAGAAATCATGTTCATACTATATCTGTATTTTATTGTTTTATTTATTTTTTACTTATTATTATTAAAATTATTTACTTTATTGAGTATTTACACCACTAAGATAATGAAAATAGGTTTCTTGTTGATATTGGTGTGCTTTTGTAATTCTTAAACCATTCTGAGTTTATTATAAGAGACAATGAATAAACATATGATGTTGGAAAACAAGGTTCTCATTTTAAGAGAAGGGGGATACACACATGGAATGGGAAAAGTGTGAAAGAACCTTGTGATGTCTGATTTGAATTAGAATGCCCTTATGATTTAAAACAAATATCTATGATTTGCTCATTGAAAAGGTTTAGAAGCATCAGCACCCCAGCAGCAGTGAGCACACCTAGTGCTCAGATCTTGTTTTCTAAATTCAGGCGTACCTCAGAGATATTGCAGGCTTGCTTCCAGACCAATGCCATAAAGCGAATATCGCAATAAAGTGAGTCACATGAAATTTTTGGTTTCCCAGTGCGTATAAAAGTTATGTTTAGGGGCTGGCCCAGTGGCATAGTGGTTAAGTTCGCACACTCCGCTTTGGCGGCCCAGGGTTTGCCGGTTCGGATCCCGGGTACGGACCTACACACTGCTCACCAAGCCATGCTGTGGCGGCGTCCCATATACAAAATAGAGGAAGATTGGCACAGGTGTTAGCTCAGGGCCAATCTTTCTCACCAAAAAAAACCAGTTATGTTTATACTATACTGTAGTCTATTAAGTGTGCAATAGCATTATGTCTAAAAAAACAATATACATACTTTAATTAAAAAATGCTTTATTGCTAAAAATTGCTAACCATCATCTGAGCCTTCAGTGAGTTGTAACCTTTTTGTTAGTGGAAGGTCTTATAAAAAATGCAGTATCTGCAAAGTGCAATAAAATGAAGCACAATAAAACAAGATAGGCCTGTATCATTTCCCACTAAAAGGAATCAAGTCTTCCTTGGAGAAATATCTAATCTCAGATTTGGGTAGGAAAAGTGTAAGATGTGCCCAGAACATTTTACTTTGCCAGAAAACATGGAGACATGTTTAAAAAAACACAGAAGCAGCCATTGAAAGGGTTGAATAAAAAAGAATAAGTCCAGGGGCCGGCCTGGTGGCGCAAGTGGTTAAGTGCGCGCACTCTGCTTCGGCGGCCTGGGGTTCGCAGGTTCAGAACCCGGGCGCGCACCAAGGCACCGCTTGGTAAGCCATGCTGTGGCGGTGTCCCATATAAAGTAGAGGAATGTGGGCACGGATGTTAGCTCAGGGCCACTCTTCCTTAAGAAAAAAGGGGAGGCTTGGCATCGGATGTTAGCTCAGGGCTAGTCCTCCTCACAAAAAAAAAAAAAAAAAAGTCCATGATAATACTACAAAAAAGGGGAGTGAAATGTAACAGATTTCAAAGATCTCTATTTTGCTACCATCAGTGTAGTAATTGATTGGGCAAAGATCATCAATGGATGTTAAAACCACTCCTTGAAAGGTTGTTATGGAACAGAACATTCATAGGTATCAACCCACATATTACTTACTAATACAATGGGGGAAACGTACCTTTACAATGGAGAGACATGGCAGTAACTAACTTACCCAGGTGATCAAACACAGCATCGCCAATAATGGGAGAGAATGACATTATGTGCTTTCTAATGTGATGCAATGGGAAATACACAACTCAAGTAGTATTCTTGGCAAAAGTGTTTAACTTGAATCTAATTATGAGAAAACAATCTGATAATCCAGATTGTAGGAATCCTCAAGAAAACTGTCCTGGACTCTTAAAAATGTCATGAAAAACAAAAAGACTGGTGTGAGGGGGACTATTATAGATTAAAAGAGATTAAAGATTATAACCAAATGCAAGGCATGAATCTTGACTGGATCCTGGGTCACAAAAAAGAACTATCAAGGACATTTTGGGGACAAATCTGGGAAATATGAAGTAGACTGTTTCTTAGATATTACATTGAATCAATGATAAATTTCTTAAGAAAATCATATGGTCATGTCAGAGAATATCCTTATCCTTGGGAGATACATGCTGAAGTATTAAGGATGTAAATGTTATAGCTGCAGCTTACTTCAAAATGCTTTAGAAAAAAGATGTATATAAAAACAAAACTACATAATATATTCCCAAATTTCCTATTCCCTTCCTTATCTCTTATTGTCTACAAAGAAATTTTGCAATTTGGTTCTGCGACAGAACCACATTTCTTCCCTTTTATTATCACATAAAGGAAACTTATTCCAACAGTGAAGTAAAAACAGTTTGAACCTGAGTCATATTTAATCATAAAATCAAGCTGGAGGAAATGTTGACCTGGTATGTTTGGGGACTATGTGCCATTGGTTTCACTCACCTTCCCCAGGGCAGTCAGTAGATGAAAGTCAATGGTCTCTCTGTATCGGAGGATCTGCAGGATGCCATCCAAGTATACCTGGTCTTTACTGAAACACCCTGGAGGAACCAGAATAGTGTTTACTTTCTGATGCTTAAAAAATTACTAAGTAATTAGCTACTAACCCATCCCCTTTACTGTAGGAATCATTCCTGTATAAAACATATTCTAATTTGCCACATTTATTTTTATTTGACGATCTTCATAACATAAAATGTAAGGTCTTGGGAAGTACCAGAATAATGTGCAGACTAGTAGCTTCCCTGTAAGAATTCCCTCTTTCTAGATCCCCACTCCCCATTATTAAAATAGCATTTTTTCCTAATTATAAACAAACAGTAGTAATTTAAGACATGACTCTTATGAATAATTATCCCACCATCTGATCATAACCTTAATTTCCATGATGCAATGAAGGCATGTGTCAGGGGGAGGATAGTTGTAGAGAAGTTAAGTCTCAAGGGGGGGCAATGTGGAGGAGGCACAGGATTTCAGAAACTCCTGGTTTTTAAAAAAATAATACCCATTACCCCACTAAAAATAACTATAGGTGATTTTGATACTATTCCTCCCTATGAAAATAAGAATTAGAACTGGATTTTAAAGAATATGGAGGTTTATAAATAGAAAAAAATCTGAAGAAGATGTGAAAAGTAGGAACAGCTCATGAGATGTCAGCATAAACAAGGGTGTTCTACTTACAAAGAAAACCTTTCTCCCACCATGATTAACTTGCATAAATTTTTTAAAATTTTGCTCTATTAAATGGACTCAAATGCTACCATATGGAAAGTGATTTATAAAGAAATTATTAACTTTGTTAGATATGCAAATAGCATGGGGATTATGAAAAAAATTGTCCTAATCAGTTAGAGATGCATACTGAAGTATTTATGGGTAAAAGGACATGATGTCTGAAATTGGCTTTAAAATACTACGTGAAAACAGGAACTTGGGAGAACAGATGAACCACAGGTAGAAAATGTTGATAATTATTAAGATTGGGTAATGTTTAATGAGCGTTCAGCATATTAACCACTCTTCTTTTGTATACATTTGAAATTTTCAATAATAAAAAGTTTTTCTAAAAACGTATGTGAAGGAAAAAAAAGGACTAATCTAAAAGTGATGTGCCTCCATGAGGTGTCAAGCATAACATGAAAGCTCTGTGCATCTGGGTGCAGAGCACTAAAATACAGGCAAGCAGATCTAAAAAGGAGACGGGAAATGCCAGACACACCTTTGACCTGAAACTGAGCCGGGAGTGGCTTTGCAGACATGAACAGCAGGGGACAGATGTCTTCCTCCTCCCTGCTTCCTGTCTTGCCTGGTCCTGGCTCTCAGGCACCGCACTTCCATAAAACTACACTACACATATAAACGTTAATGTGGGCTGGGCTGCCGACCTAACCATCACACACTGGGGTAAGTATTTCCAAGCTCCAAATAAATAGTTTTAGAAGAAAATTTGTTGATCTATTGAACTAATCTTAAAGTCAAAATGACTTTTAAATAAATATTTCCTAATTCTTATCCTTTTTTCAAAGGCATTTTTGTATTGCCTTATAATCTACTTCTTATTTTGTTAAAGAAAAAAACGCCTCTGTGGGCAATCTCAAGTCTTAAAGCTGCTGACAAAAACTTTTAAACTTTCTTAGAGTAGTGTACTTACTTAGAACCAGAACTGCTTGCTTCTGAAGATCAACATGCACTATGATTGTTCTTCTTGCCTACTTTCTTTAAACTAATAATAATAATAATAATAAAAAGTGCTAGAATCCCCATTGAAATTAATAGATTCAGGCAAGGATCACTGATGGATGCTAAAATCATTAGATGAAACTCTGTTGGAAAACAGGACATTCACACAGCATCTATCACCGCACAGATCACTTATTAATTAAAAAGGAGAAAAGGATAATGTACTTTTACAAAGGAAAGAGCTCACAATCTCCACCTTAAACGAGGATCAAAGTCAGCATCTCTAATGGTGAGACAACCTGTCATTAGGTGGCTCCTGATGTCATCCACTATCACTTATGTAGTATTCTTGTCAAAAAATGTTTATCCTGAATCTAATCATGAGCAAACAAACACACACATCCAGACTGTAGCCGTTCTCTAAGAACAGCGGCCTGGATTTTTAAAAAAGTCAGTATCATGAAAAACAATAAAGGTGGGGAAGACTGCTCCATATTAAACAATGCTAAAGAGACAAAACCACCAAAAGTAATGCATGAACCCTGACTGGATCTAGATTTTTTTTCTTAAACAGATAAAGGACATTTTTGGGACAGTTGGGGAAATCTAAATATGGTGAGTGTACTAGCTGATATTGCTGAATTAATGATCACTTTCTTAAGTGTAATAATGATATTGTGTTAGGCAGAAGAATGTATTCTTTATTCTAACTTAGGAGTTGCATGCTCAAGTTTTCAGGAATGAAACGTACAACTTACTTTTAAAAAGTCACAGAGAATACTAATAAAAAAGTGAAAAGACAACCCACAGAATGGGAGAAAATATTTGTAAATCATGTATCTGACAAGAGATTTGTATCTAGAATATACAAAGAACTCTTACAACTCAATAATAAAAAGGCAAATAACCCAATTAAAAAATGGGCAAAGTATCTAAACAGTTCTCCAAAGAAAATATACAAATGGTCAATAAGCACATGAAAAGATGCTCAACATCATTAGTCATCAGGGAAATGCAAATCAAAACCACAATGAGTAACCACTTCACACTCACTAGGATGGTTATAATAACTTTAAAAATGAAAATAGCAAGTGTTGGTGAGGGTATTGAGAAATTGGAACCCTCATACACTGTTGGTGGGAATGTAAAATGGTGCAGTCACTTTAGAAAACAGTCTGGCAGTTACTCAAAAGGTTAAACATAGAGTTACCATATGATCCAACAATTCCACTCCTAAGTATTTATGCAAGGAAATTAAAAACATAAAATTGTACACAAATGATCATAGCAAACATTATTCATAATAGCCAAAAAGTGGGAACAACTCAAATGTACACTTACTGGTGAATGGATAAATAAAATGTGTCACACTCATGTAATGGAATACTATTATTCAGCAATAAAAAGAACTGAAATACTGATACATGCTACAATACGGAAAAATCTTAAAAACATTATGCTAAGTGAAAGAAGCCAGCCACAAAGGATCACATATTATATGATTCCATTTATATGAAATGTTCAAAATAGGCAAACCTATAAAAGTAGATCCATGGTTACTTGGAGCTGGTGGCAGGGGAGAGAGGGAATACGCAATGACTGCTAAGGGGTAGGGCTTTCTTTCTGGGGTGATGAAAATGCTCTCGAATTAGATAGTGGTGATGGCTGCACAATTCTATGAATATTCTAAAAATCACTAACTGTACATTTTTAATGGGTTACTTGTATGTCATGTGAACTATATTTCAATAAAGCTGCTTTTAAAGTCAGAGAGAGGGAGCAAAAATGGCAAAATGTTAACAATTGGTGTATCTAGAGGAAGGGTATATGAATGTTTATTTTATCATTACTTTCCTGTTTCTGTACATTTGAAATTTTTCAAAATGAAATGGGATAAAATAATGCCACCAAAATGTGGTTTGGGAAAACTAGCACTAACCTCTAGTAAGAAAGGTTTAATTTTTCATAGGTGAGTGAAATCTCTGATTGGTGGATTAGGATGTAACCAAAATCAATAGACAACTACCCAATAAGTCAGAAAACCTATAGTGAAGGGACACTCACCTGGTTGGGAAGTATCAGTCCATCCTCTCTTGGCTCGTACACAATAATCCCATCTTGTATTGGGGTCCTTGACAAACTTTCCAATATCTTTAAAGAGTTCGCAAAAAGACATTTGGCTGGCTCGATAAACAGTGTAGTAGAGGAGGGCAGCCCTCCATAAAAAGGGGTCTTTTCTAAACAGAACACTGTGAATACTTGCCAGTCCTTCCTCTGTGGGATTGTTTGGCTTTAGCTCATGTTTTTTACGACCAGTCCAACTATTCCACGGCTGCTGAAGGTTGTTAATACCTCGAAAATAATGTGTGCCTATGGAGAAGTAAAGGCACATGAAAAACAAGAAATGCCATTCTCGTTTTAATTTTTATCCAAAACCAGATTCTATCAACTGTTCTAAAACCAAATTGATGTGTACCTACAAATCAAAACAAAGCAGAAATGACCTGACCCTAAAGCCTTTTGGTTTGAAGGAGTACACTGCTTTCAGAAGGATCAAATGTCTCATTAGAAAAGGTATAACTTTTATAGAAATTTTTTTTTTTTTTTTTTTTGTGAGAAAGATCAGCCCTGAGCTAACATCTGCCAATCCTCCTTTTTTTGCTGAGGAAGCCTGGCCCTGGGCTAACATCCGTGCCCATCCTCCTCCACTTTATATGGGACACCAGCCAAAACAGCATGGCTTGACAAGCGGTGCGTCGATGCGCACCCGGGATCTGAACGGGAGAACCACGGGCAACCGCAGCGGAGCACGCGCGCTCAACCGCTTGTGCCACAGGGCCGGCCCCAGCAATTTATTTTTTTAAAGGGAGGAATCACAAACTTGATACTTGAAAAGAATCTCAGAGATCACTTAATTCAATTCCCTCAGTTTAAGGAGGGGGAACTGAAATCCAGAGGAGTTAAATGACTTTCCAAGCTTAATACAGCTAGGCAGTGCCCTAAAAAATCTCATTTGAAATGAGACATTAATATCTTAGCTTTAGTTCAAGTGAAACCTAACAATTTCATTACTTTTTGCCAAATAATACTAAGGAAAAAAACATTATAAAAGAATATTTCTTTGAAGTTAATTTCTGATATTACAAATGAACAAATGGAGAAGGGTTGCCCCCACCTATTTCATGCCTCAGCATTCCCTCCAGCCAGTGCTCCCGTGCAGTGGAAACATTGATGGTCAGCGTGGGACACCCATTTACCACTGTCATTGAAGCTCGGGAAAGCAGGTCCTCAGTGAGATGAACTACAATCTAAGGAGCAAGAGGAAAAATACATATATATAAAACGAAATGTAAAGGCAGGAGGAAAAAAAGCTTTCACAGAAAACAATGGACTCATAAATTAATACTTTTTCTTTTGTTTACACCACCCTGACTCTTCCAGAAACCAAGAAGATGAAATGCAGAGCCAATCACTTTTGACCCTTCCAAATTTGGAGACCGTGGGAACTCAGGAACCTTTACTGGATTGAAGGGAAAGTAGACGGCTGTGCTGAGGAAGTCACAGAGGACTGAAGTTGTGCCTCCACTATGCTCTCAAATATAGTCTCCTGGCTAAAAGATGCAAAGGAAGATACATGAGCCAGAGTTCTGCTCACTGCTGGGCTACAGCTTATTTGGAGACTGAATACTAGGAACTGGCTACTAATAAGAGAGGCCACTAGGGGCAAATCTCTTCACTAATAATTTTCATAAAATAATTCACATAATCCCACAAACTGTACAGAAATAGTAGTAAGAAAAGAAGAAAAACAGAAAGTGAACACAACAATTCTATGCAACAGAAACTTAGACTTATAGTATTCAATGAGAAATCTGGGTGACTAATTTAATAAGTAAAATAGGGTTGGGAAAACAAAACCTTCAGGAAAAACCACAGGGCACTGACTGAGAGTTAAAATGCCAACAGTCAACTCCTCGTGTCCACTCACGATGCATACCTCACCCATGCAGCCTTCTTTCATCATGTACTTCCTAACATGACTCCAGATTCGAGTTTTAGATAGCAGGCTACCACCAGTGGCCTGTTCAAATTTTTCATAACTTCCATATTTCTGTAGAGTCAGTTCCATAATATTGATGGACTATAAAAGAAACAGGGATAATGAAAGTAAATAGCCTCCTATTACTTTGAGATGAGTAATAAGCCAGTTATATTCTTATTTATCATGACCTGTGTTGACTGATTTCCAAATTAAACTGCAACTGAGGTACCACATCTTTCTAATCCTAAACAGCTTTCACTCATTTTCACAAATACCTGTGTACTTACAAATATTCTCTTTCCCTGAATTGGTTTCTCCTTAACACACTAAAGGATAAAAGGGCTCAAGTAGTGTAAATATTGTCAACATCTTACAGGCTGGGAGCTAAGGCAGAGGAGCTCCTTCGCTTCTTTGGTGGTTCAGCAGATCTCAAGAGTGGAAGGTATGTCTCCAGACTAGTCACTAGACTATAATTACCATACGGATAAAGAGAAAAACACCCCCAATTTTTAAGAACACACAAAAGAATCAACTATTCTTCTGTGACGATCCTATAAAATCTGATATTTTTCTGGGCTACTATTTGGCAGAAAATAGTCTCAACATTACTTTCATTCAGGGCAGGGTACTATCTACTTTTCATTCATCACTAAACTTGTTACTAAGCCTCCTCATTTGTAAATGGAAAGAATAATAATAATGTCTACTTCATGGTTTCGTCAATAAAATTTAGTCAACCTTTGTAAAGCACAGTGTCTGTCTGAGACAGACATAATAAGTAGTCAATACATATCAGTTATCACATCATTGTCATCATCATCAGTTAGTTATCATTCTTTATAAACCTCACCATTGTAGATAACATACCCAACACAAAAACTACAGAAAAGCTTACACACTGCAAGTTATAACTCAACATATATATCCCCACTGGAAAAATACATATTATTAATAAACTAGGCATGTATCATAAAGTTAGTATAACAAGAAATAGCTTCAATAGGCTTTGCCTGGTTTCTGTTCCCAAAACTGTTACTGAAAGCCTTGCTATTCAGTGTGGTCAAAGGCCAGCAGCATTGGCATGCGTGGGAGCTTGTTTCAGATGCAGAATTTTGCCCCATGCCTATTGAATCAGAATCTGCATTTTAACAAGATCCCCAGGTGATTCATGTGCACTGTAAAAATCGAGATGGCTCTCAGAGAATGGGAATATAGCACATATACACCAGAAGCTAATTTACTTATATGACAACTAGGATAATTAAAAGAATAAATTAGCACATCATTAAAAACCCATTTAGCAGATTAGCAAAGATGTTTTGCACACGCCAGTCTAATGGTCACTAGTCACCAATATATCAAACAGATTACTATAGCTTTGTGGTATTGAAGATTGAATCAGGGAGTGTGATAGCTTTGTTCTTTTTTCTCAGGATTGCTTTGGCTATTGAGAGTCTTTTGTTGTTCCATACAAATTTTAAGATTCTTTGTTCTATTTCCATGAAAAATAGCATTGGGATTTTGATAGGGATTGCACTGAATCTGCAGATGGCTTTAGGAAGTATGGATATTTTAACTATGTTAATTCTTCCAATCCATGAGCACGGAATATCTTTCCATTTCTTTGTGTCTTTTTCAATTTCTTTCTACAATGTTTTATAGTTTTCAGTGTACAGGTCTTTCACCTCTTTGGTTAAGTTTATTCCTAGGTTATTTTATTCTTTTTGTTGTGATTGTAAATGGGATTGTATTCTTGATTTCTCTTTCTGCTATTTTGTTGTTTGTGTACAGAAATACAATTGATTTTTGTATGTTGATTTTGTATCCTACAACTTTACTGTATTCGTTTATTATTTCTAACAGTTTTGAATGTAAGACCTGAAACCATGAAACTCCTAGAAGAAAACACAGGCAGTACACTCTTTGATGTCTGTCTTAGCAGTATCTTTTTGAATAACATGTTTCCCCAGGAAAGAGAAACAAAAGAAAAAATAAACAAATGGGACTACATCAAACTAAAAAGCTTCTGCACAGCAAAGAAAACCATCAACAAAACGAAAAATCAACCTAACAATTGGGAGAAGATATTTGCAAATCATCTATCTCATAAGGGGTTAATATAAAAAATGTACAAAGAACTCATACAACTCAACAACAAAAACAAACAACTCAATTAAAAAATGAGTAGAGGATCTGAACAGACATTTTTCCAAAGATGGCCAAGAGGCACATGAAAAGATGTTCAACATCACTAATTATTAGGGAAATACAAATCAAAACTACAAAGAGATATCTATTACCTCATGCCTGTCAGAATGGCCATTATTAAAAAGACAAGAAATACGTGTTGGAGAGGATGTGGAGAAAAGGGAACCCTTGTACACTGCTGGTGGGAATGTAAACTGGTGCAGCCACTATGGAAAACAGTATGGAGATTCCTCAAAAAATTAAGAACAGAACTACCATATGATCCACCCATTCCACTTCTGGGTATTTATCCAAAGAATGTGAAAACACTAATTTGAAAAGATATATGCACCCCTATCTTCATTGCAGCATTACTCACAATAGCCAAGACTTGGAAACAACCTAAGAGCCCATCAACAGACGAATGGATAAAGAAGATGTGGTATATATATACAATGGAATACAACTCAGCCATAAAAAAGATGAAATCTTGCCATTTGTGACAACATAAATGGACCTTGAGGGCATTATGCTAAGTGAAATAAGTCAGATGGGAAAACACCAAATACCATATGATTTCACTCATATGTGCAAGATAAAAACAACAATAAGGACAAATACAGAGAATAGATTGGTGGTTACCAGAGGGGAAGGAAGGTTATTTAAAGAATTTTTTTACTATAACTTGTGCTTATAGGTTTTTAAAAGTATGTACTTAATTTCAGATAAAATTAACTTTTCTAGTGTATGCTTACGCAGTAGGAAAATATGGTTATCTGGTTACTATTTATTTTAGCAGATATTAAACAGTCTAGAGAATTAAGAAAAACTTAAATACATGTGTTCTTATTATCACCAATAAATAATACTAATAGAAGGCTATTAAGTATTCATAGTCATAACAAGCATTCATATTCAGAATAGGAAACAAGATTTAATTGGAAATTCATACTGAAAAAGTACCCTATAAATATAATATAAGGAAAACTAACCTTGGTAGTTTAACAACATTTAGGTAACCTTTATACTTACGAATTATTAGATTCATCAAAGACTGAATAAAAATAGTGGAGTATTTTTGTGGGGGAGAGGGAATGTAATTTTTCCATCAAAATGATATATAATAGCACATTCCTTCACTTCATCTTGACTTACATGGCACCACCATGGTGGCAACACCACATGGGAGCTACATCGATGTTTCCAGAAGCTTAATATTATGTCATGTTCAATCATTCCTCTTTGAAGTGCCTATCCTGTTGTCATCTCTATTGATTTTCTTCATCAGTTTTTCAACTGGTCCAACTGAGACAGATTTGTCAGTGATCGCACAGATCTCCAGTATCTTTCACTGACCTCAAGGAATAACTTTCCAATCTATCTGTGTTATAACAGCCCCCCAGCATGGCGACAGAGACAGTGGTTGGATGGGTGAATAAATTCCAGCTTTAAAAGAGAAATTAGGAATGTTGAGAGGTTACCTCTCAGTGAATATTTTTGTGTTACAACAACTTCTGCTTCCTTATGCAACCTCTTAACTGCAGGCCACAGAAATTTTGAGTATGATCTCGATTTTGGAAAAAGGAAAAGGCAATAAGCAATTTAATAAGGCACAAGGAAGCCTGGAAGGACATACCCAAAGGCTGATGTGCATGTTTGGGAAGGGGTGATGGGTTGCATTGAGGTCTACTCATAGAGTAAGAAGCCACTTCCCTCATCCATGTGGAAATCTAGCCCTGATTTATCCATAGACATCAAATATATTCTCTGCTTGCAACTCTAAGAATAGCAAATATAAATAGTAAGCAAGGAGACATTACATAGTTTCATTAATCAGTTTTAAAACTCTTGGAACCAAAACATCTTAATATGCACACAGCTATCCTTATTGTCCAGGTTCCAGTCCCCTAGTCTGCATGAATCTGACTTTGCACCTTTCCTTGGTGTCCATCTTTATTACACAGCCAACTCCTCCTCACCATGTTAGAAAATGGTATAATAGAATCTACTACTGAATTCCATAAAAACAGTATCAGGTGGGATAATATTTCTTTCTAAAAATGGGTTCAAATAGGCCACCAAACACATTTTTGCCTTTTTTAAAATATTGGGCCAAAAACCATATATTTTTTGCTAATTTATGAATCAATACATTATCTCTGCTCACAAATCAATCATTTCTGAATCTTTCCTCTTTATAAGAGGATAATATTTTAAAGCTTTGTATATCTTACAAGCATCAAAACAAATTGATTTTCAGAGAGCTCAAACCTAGAGCAAAGAAGAAACAAACGCAAAAGGAGCAACTGTTCAGTATGAAGGAAATGGTCCTCTCTCTCTCCCGATCTGGATGTCATTTATAATGCTACACAAAACAGAACAGCAATGTTCTTCATAATGTTATAGCACTGCCATCTCATATCTTGAAGCATTATCCTCCTCCATTAAAACAGTGAGAGTAATCAAATTTTTTTCAACAAATTGTGCTGGGACAATTGCAAAGCCACATATAAAAGAATGAAGTTGGACCCTTACCTCATATCATATACAAAAATTAACTCAAAATAGATCAAAGACCTAAACGTGAGAGCTAAAGCTAAAAAAACTCTTAGAAGAAAGCATAGGCATAAATCTTCATGACCCTGGATTAGGCAATGGTTTCTTAGATATGACACCAAAATTACAAACGATGACAACAAAATAGATAAGTTGGACTTCAAAATTAAAAACTTTTGTGCTTCAAAGCACACCATCAAGAAAATGAAAAGACAACTCACAGAATGGGAGAAAATGTTTGCAAATTTCATATCTGATAAGAGACATATCTAGAATATATAAAGAACTCCTACAACTCAATAATAAAAACACAAATAACCTAATTAAAAAATGGGCAAAAGAGGGGCCTGACTGGT